TATTTATTTGTTTGCTGGTTTGTTTGTTTGTTTTGTTTATACATGCACTGGGTACAGTCAGAAGCACGGGAGGGTGAGAGAATTCACCAGAGCCAGAGCGGGGAGCAGAGCAGGCAGAAGGACCGAAGTACACTGCTGAGGGGAGCAGCGGGCGGCAGGAGGGGTCTGCGCGCCATGTGGGACCCTCCTCCGGTGGCCGGGGAGCAGCCAGGGATCGAACCGGCGCCGCAGAGGCCGCGGGCAGCTTCGCAACCCAGCGCTCAACCGCTGCGCCACCGGGGAGGCCCATGAGCTCGGTGGGGATGTTAAGAAGATCTGCCATTTGGGGCAAATGAGATGCCATAAGCCAGGACAGCGCTAGATAAACCATTAAGAACCCCCACATGCACTGACTCAGGGGTTGGGGCGCAGCAGAAGGTGGCAGAAAGAACCCAGTGCTGCCATCAGGTTAGGGGGAGGCCCAGGTCTGCACTTGCTAGCTGTGTGGACAGGGGCAACTCCTTGAGCCTCTCGGATTCCTCACCAGCAAAGGAGGGTCATGAATCCTACTTTGTAAAGTTAACTGGGATTTTGAGTCCTAATTTATAAAGGTCAAAGCTCTAGGATAACAGAAATATAATAGTTAAATTGCAAAAAAACTTGCAATGTATAATTATCCCATACTGCTTTGAAGTGAGCACCGTTTTCTTCCCCATTTTATGGGGGAGGATGTAAATGGAGGCATAGAGAGGGAAAGTGTCTTGCCTAAGGTCACACAGCCAGAAGCACTTAGCAAGAGCTGTGGACCCAGAAGGTCTGGTTTCAGTCTATAGTCTATGGCTTCCTATGGGAGGAGCTCAGAGCAGTCCAGTGGGAGGCATGGCATTATCATTAAGGCCTTTAAGAGTCAGCCTGGGAATTGCCACCACCCTGGGGCAAGGGATGATAGGTATGTTTGTGGGTGGGAGAGTAATGCTCTCCCCTGGGGCCAGGTCTTGCAGTATACACACCTTTCTGCGCCATCCCAGACACCACCAGCGTCTTCCTCACATCCTGCCAGGGCATCCCAGGCCTATGTGCCCATCCCTTCTCATAGTTTTGGGAGAAACTGACTTGGAGTTCCCCGAGTCTACAAAGGCGGGGGGGGGGCAGATTCCTCATCTTGTGAGCTGATCCTGGTCTAGGGGCATGGACTTACTAATAGCAGCCTGCAGGGCTGTGTCATCCAGCTGGTGACTCAGGGCTCCAGGATCAGCCCCCTCCCCATTCCAATGGGGCCTCCACCTGCATGAGGGGCTTGGAGTGAAGGCTGTGCCTCCCACCAGGGTTAGGGGATACCCTCTTGGGGCATATCTTGCTCTCAGCCTGTTCTCCCAGGTCTTGGCAAACTCTGTTGTGGCATTGGAAGGAGGGGCTGGGGGAAGTGGGGAAGGGGATGTGGTAACCAGAACCACTTCCTACCATTGCTGTGTTGAAAGCCAAGTTCTCCCCCAAGTTCCCCTCCGTGGGGGTTGGGAAGCCAGGAGGTAAAGAAGGAAGTTGGGATGGCAAGATGAGGAAGGAGGGTCCTTGCCTGAGCTGACTCCAAGGATCTAGTTCTGGGGCTCCTGGTGGGGTGCTGTCCCTCCTCCTCTGTTGGTTAAAAAGGTTGACTGACCCAGAGTCCATCATAATTAGAGCAGCTGCAAGCATGCAGCACTGCTAACTCATTTGAATCTTACAACCCCCATTATGCAGATGGGGAAACTGAGGCACTGACCGGTTTTTGTCAGTTGCTCAATCATACCAAAAGTCAGTGTCAGAGCTGAGTTGTGAATTTAAGCAATTTGGCTCCAGAGCACAATCTTTAAGCTGTCAATCATTGCCCCCCTGCTTTGTCCTTGATCTGCTCTGTGACCTACAAGAGGTAAACTCTCCACTCTGGGTCTCAGTTTCCTCATCTGCATGATGGGGGCCATCGGAGTACAGATGTTTACCTCCCTCTGGTGATGTTTGTCTGTCTGGTAATTAATTACTCATTCAATTTCTCCCCTGCTGGACTCAACTCCATGAGTAGGGGACAAAGGCTATTTTGGTCACTACTGTGTCCCTAATACTTAGCACCGTGCCTGGCCTGTAAAAACTTGAGTATCTGTTGAGTAAATGGTCTTCAAAGGTTTGAGGATTACCAGAGGTCTGAGTATAGGATGAAACATTTGGAGCCTTGGCGGAGAAAAACCAATGTATAGCAGTTGTTCTCAACTGGGGGTGATTTTGCTCTTCCACCCACTTGGGACATTTGGCAACGTTTGACAACATTTCTGGTTGCCACAACTGGCAGGGGGAGGCACTAGTAGCCTCTAGTTGGTAGAGCCTGGGGTACCATTATACATCTTTTTTTTTAAAGATTTATTTATTTATTTATGCATACAAGAACTGGGGTGTAGGCCAGAGGTGTGGGGGGTGAGAGGATTCACCAGAGACAGAGTGGGGAGCTGAACAGGCAGGTCTACTGAAATATACTGCTGAGGGGAGAAGCGGGGAGACAAGAGAGGTCTGCTGTTCCATGTGAGTTGCTCCCTGGCCAGGGATCAAACTCATGCTGCAGTAGTTGGCAATAGCTTGATAGCACTGTCTTTAACCCCTGCGCCACCAGGGAGGCCCCTACTACACATCTTACAATGCTCAGGACATCCCCTCCAAGCAAAGAGTTATCCCGTCCTGAAGTTTAACAGTGCTGAACCTGGGAAAGTTGGCATATATACATGGATATGACATATTTTGTACAATTCTTGGTTTGTGGATTCATGGGTTGTCCTGCCACCAGAAGAAGATCCTTTGAATTAGAAGTTTTGGGTTTTGCATTTGTTTGTTTCCATCTCTAAAATCATATTTCTCTATGACCCCATCCTCTCAAGTCTGGAATATAGCTCCCCAGGACCCTCTGCCCTAGCCTTGGACCTACCAAAGACACCTGAGCCTCTTCAGGACCCAGGTTTTTGAAGTATCTCCTCCCCCATTCATTCAATCCTTTCCCCAAACCCTGGTCCTCTCACTTCCCTATAAATGGTAAAACAAACAAACAAACAAACAAAAAAACCAAACTTCAGAACTAGGCCTGAATCCTGGTTCTGGGTATTAACTTGCTGTGTGACCACAGGCAACTTCCTTGACTGTTCTGAGCCTCAGTTTCTTCCTCTGAAAATGGGAGTATCACTCATCAAACCTACCTCACAGAGGGTGGTGAGGATGCCATGAGATGCTTTAGGGGCTCAACACAGTAAATCTCAAAAAATGCAGCATTGTGTAGCTCAGAGGTGAAGGGACTTGCCTAAGGTCACACAGATAGACAATAGCAGAGCTGGAACTGAAGACCAGAACTTCATGACTCTCGAGCAGATGCTCATCGGTGAACCCTAGAACTTCAATTTTCTTATCAAGGAAGTTAATTGTCTCCATCTCACAGACTTGTTTCTCAGATAAGCATACAAAGTGCCTGGCATACAGTAAGTCCTTTAAATATAGCTTGCGGAATGGTTATTGTCGTCCCTCCTAAGTAATGCCTTCAAGGAGACAAATACAGATCCTGCCCTGCGCTGGCTGGCTGGGGAGCAGGGCGGGAGGGGGTTGCATAAATGGGTGCTGGAGCTGGTGCTGTTTGGAGCAGGCTGGAGAACTGGAAGGGCTCCGGAGATCATGCTTTGCCCCCGGCACCCCCTCCCTCTGTGTGGCAGTTAAGGTTTGCAAAGCTCAGAGAGGGCAAGGCATTTACTCTAGGTCACACAGATAATTAGAGCCCCAAACTCCCAGTCTCATGATTCCAGATCAGAGTCATGGTCTTGGCCTAGATAATTATTTATTTATTTATTTTTTTTATAGAGGCATGTTTATTTATTTATTTATTATATTTGTTTGTTTGTTTTGTTTATACATGCACTGGGTACAGTCAGAAGCGCGGGAGGGTGAGAGAATTCACCAGAGCCAGAGCGGGGAGCAGAGCAGGCAGACTGACGAAGTACACTGCTGAGGGGAGCAGCGGGCGGCAGGAGAGGTCTGCGCACCATGTGGGATCCTCCTCCGGTGGCCGGGGAGCAGCCGGGAATCGAACCGGCGCCGCAGAGGCCGCAGCTTCGCAACCCAGCGCTCAACCGCTTTGCCACCGGGGAGGCCCTTGGCCTAGATAATTAAAAGCAATCACGCCATCTATTGAGGATTGCACATCACCATAGGAAGCATTTTAGGTGTTTTGATCTCATTTTATCTTCACATCAATTTAGGGACAAAGGGCCCTACTTTACAGCCAAGGAAACAAATTCAGAGTGATGAGGACATTTGCCTGAGGCGCTGAAGGAAGAGTGAAGTCTTGTCTGTGGGTTTCCAGATGCCACAAACTTCCCTCTCTACTGCCCTGAAGGAGTCAGCCTGTTGAAGGCAGGGGGTGCCCCAGTGGAATTCCCCAATTCCTGCTTAGCCGAACCCACTCCTTCCACCCCCACAAGGAATGGGGAGAGGAATCAGTCCAGGAAGTCTTCCAGGGACGGGGCGGGGGGGGTGTGTGAGAAGAGGACAGACCCCAAGTGTGTGGGGAGCAGCCCCTGGAGGGGAGCTGTCCAAGAAGGGGGAGCACTAGGGTCAGAAAGAGGTCTCAGAGAATCTTCCCGTCCCTTCCCTTGGGCTAACCACTTGGGACCTTCACTGGGAGGGCTCAGGGCATCCTCCTGCCTCACCTCCCTCCTCCCTTTCATACAATTCTCACAAGCTCTGCAGTTTGCAAAACCCAACCTTTCCTCTATGGGCCTGTGGTTTCCTGTGGGTCTGGGGTCCTGCCTGACTTGGCAATGGGGATTGTGGGCAAGTGTGGGGGGGAAGAGGAGGTGGTGTAAGCCCTTTCTTTGCCTTCTCATGCTGGGGCTACACACACATACACACACGCACACACACGCACACTGTCTCCTGAGTCAGCCCCTGCCTGCCCTGGCGGGGAGGGGCGGAGTCACTGATTCAGTTAACAGGGCCTCCTTAAAGCCCCCACAAGGACGGCTGCAGCCAGACACCACTACCCTCACCATGAGCCCCTGGCAGCCCCTGGTCCTGGTGCTCCTGGCGCTGGGCTGCAGTTCAGCAGCTCCCAGACGGCGTCAGCCCACAGTTGTGGTCTTCCCAGGAGACCTGAGAACCAACCTCACGGATTGGCAGCTGGCAGAGGTAGGTCAAAACCCTCTTCTAGAATTGGGGAGGGCTGGCCAGGAGTCCCAGGAAGGACATGGGGCTTTGGAGGAGATACTCTGGGGCATGCTGGGGGTGAGAGGCATATGAGCAGAACAGAGGTGTCCAGGATCAGGCAGGGGGTAGGGGGTGGGAGCTCTGGGCAGCGATAGTGAAGGGTGGGCTAATGAGAGTGTCCTGACTGGATGATGGGACATGGGGGGAGGGTACTGGAGGGCTCTGGAGTGGGTGCTGGGGGTGAACAGAAGTAAACCCTAAGGAGCTCTGAGATAGACATGCCCAGGGGGCGCTCTGGGATCCGTCTCCAGGGAGGGGAGATTCCTGGGCTGGCCCAAGCGCCGCTACCCAGCGTTCCAAGACCTGGGCACATCGCTCTGGGTTCTGACGTCCGTGCCCTCGTCCACAGGAGTATCTGTACCGCTACGGCTACACGCGTGTGGCTGAGATGCGCAGGGACAAGCCGTCCCTGGGTCAGACGCTGCAGCTTCTCCAGAAGCGCTTGAGCCTGCCCGAGACGGGCGAGCTGGACAGCGCCACCCTGGCGGCCATGCGAGCCCCCCGCTGCGGCGTTCCCGACGTGGGCAGGTTCCAGACCTTCGAGGGCGACCTCAAGTGGCACCACCACAACATCACGTACTGGTGCGCTCGCGGGCCGGCGGGCAGGGTGGGGCCGAGCGGGGAGGCCAGTCCCGGCGCCGCTCAGGCCTGCGCGGGCACGTCCTCTCTGCGGCTGGTCCCGGCGCCGCGGACGTGCAGTCAGGGCCGGCGGCTGCACCCCTACGCGCGCACCCCGAGCCTCCCGCCTGGGCCCCCGCGAGCGTCCGCAGGGAAGAGACGGGCCTGGAAGCCCCGCGAGGCGCAGGGCGCGGGGAGCCGGTGCGCGCGGCGGTCTGAGCCCCGGGGCCGCCGGCCCGGCGCGGGGACCTCTGATCTCCCCCGGCCTCCCCGCAGGGTCCAGAACTACTCGGAGGACCTGCCGCGCGACGTGACCGACGACGCCTTCGCCCGCGCCTTCGCGCTCTGGAGCGCCGTGACGCCGCTCACCTTCACGCGCGTGCACGGCCCGCACGCCGACATCGTCATCCAGTTTGGAGTGCGGGGTGCGGCGCGAGCGCGGGGAGGCCGCGGGCGGGGGCCCCGGCGGGCTGGGCCGGGAGAGGCGCAGAGACTGGAGGGGGCACCGAACCCGGCTTTCTCTTGCCGGCCGCTGCTCGCGCCTGGCGGGGGGGCGCCCCCTCCTGCCCGACGGAGCCCAGGGCCTTGGACCGGCCCGGCAGGCGGGGCTGCCGCGCGCTCCGGCGCGCACCGCCGTGCCGGGCTCACTTTCCTCCCCTTTCTGCAGAGCATGGAGACGGCTATCCCTTCGACGGGAAGGACGGGCTCCTGGCGCACGCCTTTCCTCCGGGCCAAGGCATTCAGGGAGACGCGCACTTCGACGACGAAGAGCTGTGGACCCTGGGCAGGGGCGTGGGTGAGCGCCTCCGCCGCCCCATCCCCACCCGCTTCCTTTCTCCCGCCGCTCTCAGGCCTTCTGACCCGGTCGCCTCCTCTTGCAGTGGTTGCAACCCACTTCGGAAACGCAAACGGCGCCCCCTGCCACTTCCCCTTCACCTTCGAGGGCCGCTCCTACTCCTCCTGCACCACGGACGGCCGCTCGGACGGCATGGCCTGGTGCGGCACCACGGCCAGCTTCGACGCCGACCGCCAGTTCGGCTTCTGCCCCAGCGAGAGTGAGTGCGGGGCTCCCGCAAGGGGCGGGGCGCGGCACCCTCGAGGGTCTAGGACCTGGTTTATATATATATTTAAAGAACAGGTTTATTAGGGAAAGAGACAAAGGAGTAAAAGGCTCTGCATAGACACAAGCGGGCAGGAAGAGCCGCCCCGCAGGCACAGGTTTGCTGAGAGGCCTGCGTGGAAGCAGGCGGGCGGCCTTGAGGGGAGCTCCGCTGAGGGAGGTCAGTGAGGAGAAGTCCTGGCAGGTACAGGTCACGGGCAGGCAGGAAGCTGCGGCCCTGCAGGAGAGAGTTGGTGAAAAGAGGCACCTGCAGGTCACAGGCGGGCGGAGGAGGGAGAGCTGCTAGGACCTGGGGTTTAATCCCAGCTCTGACATGAGTGCTGCGTGGCCTGGAAGCCACTGCCCCGTTCTTTGGGCCCAGTTTCCTCGTCTGTGAAATGAGGAGAGGAGGGATGGGGCGCACAGAGGGGGCTCGGTAGGCTCGTGGCACCTTGGGGTGATCGGCTGGGCATCCCTAGGACTCTACACCCAGGACGGCAACGCGGACGGCAAGCCTTGTGTGTTTCCATTCACCTTCGAGGGCCGCTCCTACTCTGCCTGCACCACGGATGGTCGCTCCGACGGCTACCGCTGGTGCGCCACCACGGCCAGCTACGACCAGGACAAGCTGTTCGGTTTCTGCCCCACTCGAGGTGCCTCCGCCCCACCTTTTAGATTTAGCCTCATGCCCTGATTTCCATTGCCCTCCCCCCCAACATGGCTCCTCCACTCCTCAGCTTGCTTCTCTACCTCTCCTTGGTCGTCAGGACCTGAGGGTTCTGTCCACCATCACACGCTTCCGTTCCCCATTGCCACCACACTCAAGATTGGCTTTCAGCCCAGCCTGCGGCTTCTTCTTGGTCTCCTGTCCCCAGTGCCGCCCTCCAGTCTCAGCTGAGCTGCACAGGCCCCTAAGCTTTTAGAAAAGGTCACCTAGATTCCCTAGCTCCTGGCTGGCCCTGCCCATCCCACTCACCCAAGGCTCTGGGTCTCTTCAGTTGACTCCACAGTGACCGGGGGCAACTCAGCAGGGGAACAGTGTGTCTTTCCCTTCACCTTCCTGGGCAAGGAGTATTCCACCTGCACCAGAGAGGGCCGCAGCGACGGGCATCTCTGGTGTGCCACCACCTCAAACTTCGACATTGACAAGAAGTGGGGCTTCTGTCCGGACAAAGGTGGGCGAGACCCCAAGTTCCTGGGCCCGGGCCTAGGCCAGGCATGGTGGTGGGGACGGATGGCTGGGGCCCGGAGCTTGGCCCATGGCTTGTGTCTAACACTCCCCTTTCCTCCAGGGTACAGCCTGTTCCTTGTGGCTGCGCATGAGTTTGGCCACGCTCTGGGTTTGGATCACTCTTCGGTGCCAGCAGCGCTCATGTACCCCATGTACAGCTTCACCGAGCAGCCCCCTCTGCATGAGGACGACATCAAGGGCATCCAGCATCTCTATGGTGAGGGTGTGGGGCTGGGTGGGGGGGAGCATGGGGACCCAGGGCCAGTGTGTGCAAATGTTACTTGGTCGGCGCTTGGGGGTGGCACTAAAGAGCCCAGATTTTTAGCAGAAGACAGATATGGGTTCAAATGCCAGTCTGGTCACTTCCTGGCTGGGTGACCTTGGGCACGTCACT